ATAGAACAAGAAGCAATGGGTGGGAAACTAATCAAGGAGAGAAGCAACTTAGAAATGAGGAGAAATTTCCTGACAGTTAGGACAATTAATCAGTGGAACAGCTTGCCTCCAGAGGTTGTGAATGCCCCAACACTGGAAGTCTTTAAGAAGATGTTGGATAGCCATTTGTCTGAAATGGTATAGGGTTTCCTGTCTAGGCAGGGGGTTGGACTAGAAGACCTCCAAAGTCCCTTCCGATTCTGCTATTGTATTGTATTGTATTGTATATTAGTGGTCTGCAGGATTGAAAATTATAAATTTAGTGATCCCTGAGGTCTGAAAAGTTGGCGACCCCTGCTGTAGTCAACTGCATGTTCATATAGAGATTTGAATCTTAGATTGACTGTTCCCAATCCAAGTCCAAAACCTTAATCATTGTTCCTGTATTTTGAATCACACCGTACTCCTATATTTTTTCAGCGCCTATCATGGTCACGTGACATCCTTGATTGATATCAGTCCCTATAAATTTAATCAGCTGGGAAAAGAGGTCAAAAAGGAATTTGTACATGTGGTGAGTATTTATTACATTTCAAGTTTTCTAAGTTCTCCCTACCAACAGATTCTTACTGTCGATTCCTGCACATGCCAATATAGAAGTTGGCTCTACTGAGCTAAAATGTGGCAGGCTTCATGCAACCTGTTATTATTTTCATGTTAAAAAGCCTTAAAAACAAAAATCAATAGGTGCTTTGCCTATACTCATATGCACAGAGAGAAAGATTACTGTTCTTTAAGTATAGCTTTGCTATGTCTTTTGGAAGGGAACTTGCATTGAAATGAATATTTCAAAGATTTCCCTTGCCTTTTAGGCACCTTCCCCAGATATTTACAGAGGAAAGTATAGAGAAGACCATGAAGATCCAGCAGGGGCTTATGCTGATGATGTGAGAAATATTATTGAAACAGCTCAAAAGAATGACCGTAAGGTACATTAGCTCTTGAAACTTTAAAAAAGAAAAGATTTTTCTTGCCTCTTCCCCATCCATCAATGTTCGTCCTATTTAAGACCACTTAACTATCTTATATAATTGAAATGTCTTTCAGTTTTTTTTAACAGATTCTGGATTTTAAGGTGTTCCCTAGCCCCTTTAATTCATATTTGTGAGTTTTACAAGCACTGTTTTAAATCAGGACTGACATGGGTTTAAGAAATCTGGATTTCCCCTCCTTCTCTTTACCTGCTTGCTATCTTTTGTGGCTATGAATAGGAAGCATCTTAGCAAAAGTCTGTTTTTTCTAACTGTGCTGAGCACCAGGGATCCCCTTTTGCAAACTAATGTAATAATAGATGAAGATCCACAAAGCTTCCATCTGTGAATTGTAAGCAGTATTTGAATGGATATCCCTTCTTTGAATTGGAATGCATAGGGTGTGCAACTGTTTTTATATCTGAATATTTTACGGCCACTGCCCAGAGTTGTATTTCAAATTTCTTCACTAAGGATTGAAAAAAACTCATCTGCTGTTTTCAGACTTGTGGGATCCAAAGGTTCCTAACTGCTGAAAAGAAGTTAAGCAATTTTCAAAACTGATTAGAAAAGGAAACACCTGAATCTTGTTTCCTTTAAAGGTCCCAACATTTTTTTCAAATCCCAGGTGATTTCATTCTTTTTAATTTAATTTAAGAGGGACTCCCCAGAGCCCCTCTTTGAGAGAGATGGGCAGTTCAAAAATATAAAAAATAAATGAAGAAAATCAAAATATTGTTCCATACTACAAGAAGATTATGTTAAAAGCCCAACAATTTCACTACATGCCTTCTTTAAGATAATACTGAATGCAGAAAATCAGTATAGTTCCATGGATGTCCCAGAACTCCAGTTTACTTCTGATCTTAGAAAAGGGTTTCCAGTAAGTCATTATCTGTCTCACTGCATTTCCAGCAAGTTACATAATAATACATTAACTTTCTTGGGATTCTCAATCATAATTAAAACTTTTTAGCATTTTGGCTGAAAAAAGGTGAAATAGAATTTAGAATTAGAAACCACAAAACTGTATCCACCAATCTCAACCAAAATAAACACAAAAGGATAAAAAAACACAATGTGGTGTGGTTTGGTTTAAAATAAAACTACTAAAGTTAACTAAAAGTCCAAGTAAGAAAAGCTGAATATCAGAGCAAATACCAAAATATCTGATATACACGTGAACAAAAGCTGCTATTTAAAATCAGCAATTATAAATATTTTAAAGTGATTTTAAAAAAGGGATTTCAGAATAGACTTTGTTTATTAGCAGGTAATTAATTACGGTACAAAAATCACCATCACAAAAGGATCAACAAAAGTGAAATTGCAACCATCAGCTGATCAGTGAGTTTTAGACTTCAAATGAAAATGATGACAGTGCTGATTGAATTTCATTTTGGTTTCTAATAATTATTGATATTTTTTTTGTGGGGATCCAATAAGTAGTATACTTAACAGTGTTTAAATAAAAAGCAAAACAGGAAAACAAGGTGAAAATTAAACCAGCTAATAATTTAAAGTAAGCTAAATGTATAGAATTAAGGATATGCACTGCTTCATATTTATTTGGTAAGAAGCACTTTAGAACATAGTGTACCACAAATCTAACATCTGGAGTCATGTGATTAAGGATTACCTTAATAATTCATAAGGAGGTACTACATTTCTATACCTTATTCTTCCCAATCAGATCTGGAGCACTGCCCAGCTCTAACAAAAACAAGCTGATAAATAATCATAATAATACAGTTTTCAGGGATATTTAACATCCTAAAAAGTGCTGCATCATTTTTTAAATTTATTTTATCCAACTACGTACCTTAAAGTCCAGAAATCTATCAGTCTTTAATTCCTTAACCATTTTTTTTTCAAAAAACAAAATCTAACAGGGAGTTTCTATTTTCTTCCCTTTGTCTGTTTCTCTCCCTTTTCATATATATCTTTGTAGGTTTTGGTGCCGTAGACCTGTGATAACGTTTTACAGACAATGGGGAATCTTCTACTGCCTGGCTGTAGTGTACCTCTTCAAGTCTATGTGCGCTTCTTTACACGTTCCCCAATGAGCTTCTTTCCAGGAAGACCCTCCTGTCCAGCTACCATGGAACCCACAGATTCTCAGGGAGGGTTGCGCAAAGTGTGGGAGGCAGTCAGTTAAATAGCAAACGTGCTCTGCAGGCAGTTTTGGGGGACAGCAGTGACTTAATTAGGCCTCCTCCGAATTCCATCCGCCGGCCAATGCCGACTGGCGACTACCCGGAGGAGGGCCTTCTCTGTGGCTGCTTCCACCCTCTGGAACGAGCTCCCTGTGGAGATTCGAACCCTCACCACCCTCCAGGCCTTCCGCAAAGCCCTTAAAACCTGGCTGTTCCGACAGGCCTGGGGCTAAAGAGCTTTGCCCCCCTCCTCGAATGGTATGGTTGTTGTGTGTTTTTTAAATTTTTGTACTGTTATGTTCGTCTTTTATCCCCCTGTCTGTACCCCCTTCCCTGACTGAATTGTGAGCCGCCCTGAGTCCCCTTCGGGGAAAAGGGCGGCATATAAATGTAATAAATCTAATCTAATCTAATCTTAATGCTGAGGGCAAAAAAAAGACAAAAAAGTAAGCTTCACGTTCTGGTCTACCAAAGTGATGATACTGACTTTTGATTTGACATAATATCTTTGTGTTTGTTTGCATTGTTTTTATTCCCAGCAATTGGAATTACTTTTATCTGTGGGCTTCTTTTTGTCAAGTGGCTCTTTTTTGTGAACGTTCTCTTTAAGTTTTTTCTAAAGGAGGGATGTCCAAAATTTCACTCTGTGGAACGTTTAACCCCAAACAATATGTTTAGGTATCTTAGCTGAGAAAAAGGAGATGCAACTGACTGTTCCAGCATGCCATATGTAATAAAAGAACGTGTCAAATATTCTTTTGATATTTGGGGGATTTGGAATAATGAATGATTAATCAAAATATGGAACCTCATCATTTATCAGATAACCTGGAAGTAAAATCTCTCTGGGTATTCCATCTAAAATAGATACTTAAATGTGTTGGTACACTTTCAAGATCAGTCCAACACTTTCTCAATAAATATTTTGTGATAATTCAATAATTCAATTGGATGCCTGTCCTGGCATTGAAAAATTGGGCATTCCTTACTCATAATTATCCATACAACTGCCCAAACTCTGTGTTCATTTACTTTCCTTGTTTTGATAGCCTACATTTAATTATTGGGTCATTTGTAAAAGACTAGGTTGAGGACCATTCTTCTGTAACACCTTCTTCTACAACATCTTCTCTGACTTAGATTGCTGCCTTTATTGCTGAATCCATGCAGAGTTGTGGAGGCCAAATAATTCCACCTGCAGGCTATTTCCAGAAAGTGGCACAGTATGTATAGTGCGTGGAATGGCTTAATTGTAGCAAGACAATTAGCAGGAGTTCTCCAATCTACTATCGTGCCTTCCTACAATTTTCAATATAGCAATATAGCCAGCATCTAAGAGTCCCAATATGTATTGATGAATAGTAGATTGGTGAATAGTAATTTGCCCATTCTACTGTGTTTCCCCCAAATTACAACCTTCTCAGAAAGTTAGTCCTAGCTTGATTTTTACATGTACACCCAAGATAAGCCCTACCCCCAAAATAAGCCCCAATTAAGATCTCACATACTCCAGGGTGCACAGGTAAAAATTAAGCTAGGTGGGGATGGGGGGGTGGAGCTGCCCTACTACTTACCTTGGAATAGTTGCAGCCAGGCCTTGCACATCTCGGCCCATTTCTTCTGCCGGCAATGCTTTCCTGAAGGCCTCTGTAGCCGATAAAAGAGCTCTGGATCAATCCAGAGCTCTCTTATTGGCTGCAGAGGCCTTCGGGAAAGCCTTCCTGGCTTTGAATTGAATTGAATTTATTGCATTTATATGCCGCCCTTTTCCCCGAAGGGGACTTTGAGGGATGAAGAAGTTCCTGAAGGTCTTTTGATAGTGAAAAAGAGGCCGGGGGTGACACATGCAAGTGAGGTGAGTCAGTGGATGACATCCCCCCCCCAAAATAAGACCTGGTGCCTTTTTGTGGCAAAAAAATATAAGACAAGGTCTTATTTTTGGGGAAACACGGTACCTATTAAGAAATAGTCGCTTGTGGCTGTAATTTTTGTTCCTTGAAATAGCAGACAACTTGTAACAAGGAGGTTTGGCAAGTAATTCAGCCCAATAGCAATGATGGTGATTCCACCCACCCACCCATTGTAATATCTTATTATGCATTGTTCCCAATAATGTACATATTTAGGGAAATAGTGTTTGAGAAGAGTTATCGTGCTACTGGATATTTCCCTTGTTTTATTTTTAGCATGTACATAACAAACTAATAATTTGAAATGAATGTCAGAATAAATGTGTAGACTAAATAATGCAAAGAGTGGTTTAGAAAACATTCAGACCTGGCACCCCTATGGATATATTGAGGAAATCGTTTTATGAATGATAGACCTGATGGTTTTTCTGATCAAAGGTAGCAATTTCAAATTTTTAAATTGGATTTGGCCTTTCAGTAACTAAAAACCAACCGTATATTGGGCCTCAAGTAATGTTTCAAGTCCACTTAGTTCCTTTCAGGCTCTGATGAATCACTCTAATAAAGAGGGCAGCCTGTATTTTATAACAATAGCAGTATTTGTAATTCTCAGACCTGAAAGGAGATTTTTAGGAGCTATGTTTAAAGTTAATATATTTTTAATCATTTTATTATGTGGGAGGATGTTCTTATCTAAGGTCATAATGAGACATCTGAACTTTTTTCTTTTTTTTCAGATTTGTCCACAAAGCAGGAGGAGTTTTCATAGCAGATGAAGTCCAAGTTGGATTTGGTCGGGTTGGGAAGAATTTCTGGGCATTCCAGCTACAAGGTGAAGACTTTGTGCCTGACATTGTCACTATGGGGAAGCCGATTGGCAATGGCCACCCAATGTCTTGTGTTGTTACAACAAGAGAAATTGCAGAAGCCTTTGGTGCCTCGGGGTTAGAGTACTTCAATACTGTGAGTATCACTTTTAGTGTTATAATAAGACAGTTAAATTATAAGTTCTGATCATCGGAATACAAATTAAGCATGTGGTGATATACGGCGTTCCAATATGGAAACAATAGTACTTACGCTACTAAAATATAAATCAGCCAGCCTGATTTAAAAGGAAGTGGAATATTTAATAAGGCAACTGAGTAGACTGATCAGATGATTACAGTCTGTTATTGAGATGCTGCAGGTTAGCTTTGTACTGTTTCATTCTTATCATCTCTAAATTGGACCACACAGTCTTTCAAATAGAGAAGTTTGTCAAAAACCCATCTCCTCTCACAGCCCTTCAAATAGAGAGCTGCCCTCGGCAAAATAAGGTCACATTTAGGGGAAAGAGATATTGGAAATTGCTGTCCTACCTTCTCAACTATTCTTGCTTTCAGTTTGGTGGCAACCCAGTATCTTGTGCAATTGGCCTGGCTGTCTTGGATATAATAGAACAGGAAGATCTACAAGGTAATGCCACACACGTTGGAAACTATCTCTGTGGACTACTCAAGGAACAACAGAAAAAACACTCATTGGTGGGAGATGTCAGGTAAGGTAAAATGTACTTTTAGGTTATTACCAACAACCAGAATAACATAAAGGAAAACTTATGCATTGGTCAAATAAACTTTACTGTTACATGTTGCCCTCAGATCTCTAATACAACTAGGGCTGACCAAAGTAATGCAAGACTAAAAATTTGCTTTGGAAGACTCTGAAGAAAAGATAGTTAGTTCAAGATACAGCTGTCGGGCTATTTAGTGGTTATAGTGAAGATAATGATATCTAGCCTATGCTGACAGATTTTTACAATTTCTAGATATACAGTAGTTTAGAATGATGATGCTTCTAAAGGTCAACATAGATTAGAAACCGTGTTTCTGAAGAAGTTACAGATAGCAGTTGGGACTTTTACTTTCTATGGTAAACAAGTAAAACTTTTTCAAGTTAATATTTTTATTGAGTTATAAAGTTATATAAAATACAAAGTTAATAGGAAAGCAGTGGGGAGGGAAAGGGGAAGGAGAAGTGAGGAAAGTTGAGAGAGAGGGAGAGAGAGAGAGAGAGAGAGAGAGAAGGGTTGACTTTCGACTCTCTCTGTTACAGTAAAATAAGGCATTAACATCGAATCACAACTTTTTGCTTTTTCCTGAAAGTATAAACAAGCCATTTCTATAAATCTAATCGATAAGTCCCGAAGTCAAAGTTTCATTCTTCTCCACATCAAGCATGAAGTTCAGAAATGATTTCCATGTGGAAACAAAAGTACTTGTGTTCTTTTCTTTAATCAAAGTGGTCAGTTTTGCCATTTCAGCCAACTCCATCAATTTCTGCATAATAGGAATAGAAGTATCCTTCCATTTTTGTTCATACAATAGTCTTATAACAGAAAAACTTTTTCACTGCCATTTTTTTCCTGTTGGTTAACTAACAGGAAGAAAGTGTTTCATCACTCTTCAGTGATGCAGAGTGTTTCATCACTCTTCAGATGTTACATAAGCTGTTCTGGCATTCTTTCCTGTTGCCACATCTCTGCTGCATGCAGACAAAGAATACCCCTGCCTGTGCTCCAAATTCAAAGGAAAGCAGAGATGTCCACTTGGAGGAAGGAATCAGAAAAGTTAATATGCTCTGTGCAGTACATGTGAAAGAGGTGGGAGTTCAGTTGCATGGAAGTGATTGCCATCTTGACTTTTTTTGACACCTCTCCCCATGGACACCTTTGTAGAAAAGTCTCTCCTAGCACTCATCAGTTGTGCCTGCTCAAGCACAGAAAGGCAGACACATATAAGCACACCCAGCTATCATGGAATGACCTATTGTTG